GGGGGGGGGGGAAAAAGAGGAGTCACAGGGCCCAGATCAGACGCAGTGGTAATGTCTCTCCTGGCCGCACACTGCGCACCTTTGAGGCGGCGTCGTGTTCCCCGCCCCTCCTCCCATCTCTTTGTACAGAAAATGAAGCAAGCTGCTGCCGGCTAACAGCAGAACACTGCTGCGCTCAGCTGCCTGAAGCGAATCTACCAAGGGAAAAGGGCACATCTCCAAACCGGGTATGGAATATAAACAGGCACGAGCATGCCGGCCAACGCCACCAACAGAGAGGACCCCCGCGGCCGGCTTTCTGTCCCCCTCCCGTCGTCTGGTACCCGCAGCCCCCGCCCCTCGTGGTTCTGCCCCCTACCCCTCCTTTGCCTCCTGCTTTGGCCCTTTTCTTTGGGAGGGGGCGGGATGGGGGCAGCAGAGAGCCAACCTGCAGAGGCCAGCATCTCCCCACCCGAGCCGCAGATGAGAAAATGATCACACACCCCAGGACAGAATCACCTAATTCACAATCCTGGGGGGCCGTACAGCTTTCCTTACACACACATACCTCTCCCCAGTGCCCCCACCAAGTCAAAAAAAAATATATATATATATATATATACACACACACACACATATATGAATACATCATCGATACTGCTGTACGGGTGGGGGGGATGTTATTGAGGAGGGGATGCTGGAGGTCCCCAGAAAAGCAAACTTAGTAGGCTAATTTTACAAATTTACGTCTTCCCTGGACTGTCCGAGGGGCTTCAGAGAGAAGTGGCAACAGTCCGCACACTAACGCAACGTGGGATTAGCAACTCGATGTGCCCACTGCCGACGTGTGACATCACCGACGGACAAATCGGATTCTCTGAAGCTGGCAGGAAGGCCTCTAAGCAGAGAGGCTGCTCTAAGCTGGGCACTCTCTTCCCCTCCCTAAGGAGCAGCTGGACCTCCGAGGACCGCAAGAAGCACAGCTCCTGAGACACAGATGGGGCAGCTCTCTATGTGCGGGGGCCACAGGCTGGCTGCCCCCCGGGACTTGGAAATCGTAGGGGAGGACCCGGAAAAGCCCTCCACGCCACGCTGGCCTCTCATCTCAGTCGCAGAAAGGAGCTGCTCACAGGGTGCTCAGACACTTATTGGGAGCAGATTCAACAAGCAGGCACTAAGCCACGTGCTGGGGTTGGAAAGAGACAAGAAGCGGGACAGCCGACCTCCAGGGCTTCGGAGGAGAAATGGCCGAGCACAGAGATGAACGGTGACTGAAACGACACAGCCACGCGGGCAACGCAAGGAGAACGTCCCAGGACGCGACCCTCACTCAGGAGGCAGATCCCTCCAGCCTCATCCTCTCTCTCTTTCCTTCATTCAGTCGACCGGCAAGTGTTCAGTGAGCACCCACGATGTGCCAGGCACTGTTCTCACCTCCGTGGTGGGATGGACTTAACGGGATAGCCCAACGAAAAGCGCCGGTTCCCTCCCACCCTCTGCTGCTTTGCTTCTTTCTCATGGAGTTTTCTTTTTTGAATCGAGGAAACGGAAGAGGCCGACTAGGGCATCGTGGGCGCCCCTGCTCGGGGTTACACCGCAGTGAACCGCAGATCGCCCCTTGTGTGGCCCTCCCCTGCCCTCCCTCCCCCCAGGTCCCAGGCGCGCCGGCCCCCAACCCCCCACTCTTCCTCCCAGAAAAGAGCTGACGGCAGACCGTACTCACCGGGAAATGAGGTAGGCACACCTGGCCGTTGGCCTTCACGCTGCGATGCATTTCTCTCTGGAGCTGTTTCTTACTCCCCCCGAGGTAAGGAGGGATTCCATCTCTAAGGGAAAGGAAAGGGCAGAACCCACCGGCTCACGAGGAGGCCGACTCACGCGCACCCGCCTGAGACCCTGCCGACAGATGGGGCCGCGCACCTCCTGGAGCTGGGAGCGCCCCCAGTCCCCGGGCGCTGTGGCCGTCCCTGCAGGGAAAGTCAGTCCAAGGCCCAACCGCCACATGTCCTGCCCCTCAAGCCTCTCTGGAAACGGCTCCCGCTCGGATGCAGGAGTATCAACCTGGGAAGAGCTCGTGTCTCAGCTCTTGTCTTAGAACTGGGCCCACCTCAGAGTGAAGGTCCCCCTATTTTACAGGTGCCCCAAGCAGGAGACTAAGACCCCTTTGGTCCCTCCAATGGTCTGTTACCACGGCAACCAGGAACCAGACCCACAGAAGACTAAGCCAGGCGCTGGTGGAGGGTGTGTGTTACCCTCCAGCAGTCAACCTCCCAGGCGTTCCCGAACGTCTCCTTTTTATCAGCCACCGGCAGGCATCTCTGGGCTCCTTCCTTCCCTCAGCTCCAAACCCTACTGGCCCCCAACCAATGGATTCTCAGATCCGTGACCAATGTGGGCATAAAGAGGAAGCCCCTACTCCGCGGTATTCTGTGCAATTCATCCAAATATTTGAGTACCTACTATGTGCCAGACCTTGTTCTAGGCTCCGGGCAAGAGAGCAGCGAAGGATGGGGATAAAAATGCAGACGACTGCCCTGAGGAAGCTTGTGTTCTAACGGAGCGGAACAGGTAATAGGCAAAAATTAAAAAGCCAGATCTATGGTAAGTTCGAAGGTGGTAAAAGCAGTATGATGCTTTTCACTGCAGGAAATGGGGAGTGAGGACGGCTGGGGCACAGAGCTGCATTTTGAACAGGAGGCGGTGGTCACTGGAATCCTCTGCATGAAGGTGACTCTGAGCAAAGACCAGAGGGCAGAAGGGCCCCTTACGTTCTCCTTCATCACTGTGTTTTCAAAAAGCAAATGGAAGAACTTTAAAAACAGCTCTGCCGCCACCACCTCCACCTCCACTCCAGCTAGTTTGCACTAAAAACAGGACCCGGAGTTGCTATGATTTTTTTTTAAACTTTTGTTCTTGAAAAGCAGTCGGACGGTCAAGGTGTGATTATCTTCCCATTGCTGTTCCTTCCAGAAGCCAAGTATTTACAAAAGCCTCAGGTTCAAACATTTCCAAACTGAATCATCCTTCGAGGCTATAAATGTTGAAATTAGCTGTTTGGCTATTTCCCTTTCCCTGGTGTTTTGTTCATCAACGGGTGGCTGGCTCATCAGCAGTGGGTGACAATCAGCTGTGCCTAAAAATGCCAGGAGCGGCCTGGGCCAACTGGTCGACCTCCAGCTCCTCTGTATGGCCGCGGATTCCGGAAGGCTGCTGAGCCGGGCAGGAGAAAAGGGCTGCCGCCTCAGGGATGCAATACAGATACAGATGAACTGACCTATGAGCCAAACCTTGGAAAAGAAGCACTTTATTAAGTCCGGTCGTACCGAGGGTACAGGCGGGGAAGACAGATCAACATAGAGCAAGGACTTACTCGCCCGTGTGAGTCCTGTCCCAGGGAAAGGCTGAGGGGGGTCAGACAGCAAGCACTGTGGAAATGGTCAGCCCGTTGACCAGTGAGGTCAAGTCTCCTAGGCAGCCTCCTAACTCACTAAGGCCTGGGACGGAACTGGGCCCATGAAGGTCAAGTAGGAGAAAAGGTTCTAAGTCCAAAAACTTCCTGAACCACGTGGAGCTTCGTTACAACTTTTCACCCCAGAATCACTCACAAGACGTGGGCCGGTCGCAAGCAGGCCTGGCTTGACCAGCAACTAAGGGCCATGCCCGCCGACTCCAACCCAAGGCTGCTGGCCCCCCATGGACTGAGTGATGTATAATCCAACTGCACCCTCACAAAACCCCTAAATCACCACATTTTATGGATGACCAGAGATGCTCCAAAGCTCTCCTGGAATCAGCCGGTAGGTCAGGTCCAGGCTTCTAATCCAAGCCGCTGGTGGACTCCAGAACAGGCATCCTTAACTCAAAACACGTACAGTCCAGGCCCAGCTGGAGAAGCCAAGCTTCCCAATGGTCTGAATGCAGGGGACACCATTTCCTACGCCCCACGGGGTCACCTGGCATTCTGAAAGGGTGAATGGGGGTTTGGGGAACATCCTGGAAAGTCCTGCTGACCACTTAGTGCTCGCTGGCTATGGGGCATGCCGGCCCCCCATCTCCCACCTAAAATCCCTTGTGGGGTGTGGGTAACGGCAGGGGACCAACAGACTGGGTCTCACGATGGTCTGAGCAACAACTTCTGCGGCCCCAGGGCTGCAAGACAAGATCCACGTCCCAACCAGCAACTCTTCCGGGGCCATAATAAGAGGATGGCTCTGCTCCAGGCCTCTTCCAGGCAATCCTGGGGGTGGGAGTCAAGCACCCCGTGGATCCCACCGTGACACACACGGGGCTGCACGAGTCCCAGGAGGCCCCCACCCGTCCCTTCCAAGACTCTGACCTTGAGTGTCCCCCAGAAGCCTTTGCTCCTCCCACTTGCCTCCCGAGATGAAACGAGCGGTAAGGCTTTCACACCCCTCTCTCCTTCTCTGTATCAAGCAGGAGAAAGAAAAGTGAACTGGGGGAGGCAGAGGGAGCAGGTCCCCGGCCACGTGAAGGCAAGAGGAACAAATGCATTTTTAAACCACTCCTCCAACCAAGAACATGCCCACCACAGCCAGGGCAGGTGAAGGGTCCAGCTGTAGGCAAGGAAACGCGAGACCAGCACAGAAAAGGGAGACCCACTCGCAAAGGCTCAGCGGCTCAACAGGCACCTTCAAGGAAATGTGCCTTTAATCCCACCCCCACCCCGACCCCCCAGCCAAGCATCTTCTTCCAAAACAGCCCCTCATTCCAGAAAGGGGCCTCTCTTCTTTGTATCCAGGCTCTGAAAGCCTGTGATCAGCTTCCTGGCTTCTCAAGACCATGAGCTGACCCGTGCCTGCGTCTCGGTCCCCGGACGGCCTCCTTTAATCATAAACATTTTAGTTAACGCGCCCGCTGCCGGGCCCAGCTGTTTCTGGGGAGCGCTGGTTTCGAAGTGTGGACTCCACTTAGTTGCCATTTAAACCGAGCCAATTAGTTTAGCCTTTTGACTCGGCTGTGCCCGGCCTAACCTGAATGTCGCTTTCCAGTGGCTTTGAAATCGCGGGCTCACGTACACACGCGTCCACTCACATTTTCGTTTGGCCACCACTCCGAAGGTGGCCTCTGATCACAGCCAACATCAAAAGGCCGGTTTGTAAGATAAGGCACTATTTGAAGTTCACTCAGATGCTTTCCCCGGGGTCCAAAGTAAACCCATAAGTAAGATATAAGGAAATAAAAATAAATATTATAAAATAACCTGGGCCACTCTCTGTGTGAAAGGTGACAAGAAGGTCTCGGGCTGATTTTGTGACACCCTGAGCAGAAGCACCCTCCGATCGCGCGGATGCCGATTTCAGGAGCAGCCCTGCGCAGAGAGAGGTGTCAGGGAGCCACCTCCATGCTGTCCTCCTAGCTTTCACTTCCTAACAGAGGCCACACCTGGGCGCCAGGAACCTGCTCCTTCTGATGTTTCTAGCGTGCCCCCCGCTCCCGCCACTGCAATCCTCCTACAGCCCCCCCCCGCCCCCCCGCAGTCCTTCTGCCCAAGGGCTGGGGTTGAGGACTTGGCTGGGAGTCTAACTTTCCAAAAAAAAAAAAAAAACGAAAAAAGCCATTTCTTCTGAGAATGTAGGTTTCAGAGCAACGGGCTCGTGAGAGGGCCTGCTCAGAGGCCTTGTACGAAGACTCAACTCCCCAGCCATCTGAGACGGGGCTTTCTGCGTGGCGGGGAACCAGAAGTCGGGAGCAGGCCCTGGACTCGCCAAGGACAAGGCCACCCCACCCAGCTTCTCCCGGGTCTCGTGCAAAGGCCCTGGGACTTAACTGCTTCCCTGGCAAGTGAGACGACTGCTTGTGTCCGATGAACTCCACCTCCTGGAGTCTACTGAAGGCGTCCTGTGACCCCCGCCCAGCTGTGCCCCTTCCCCAGCCCCCAGCAGGGCAGCCAGCCCCACCCCCCGGCCTCTGTGCCCACGAGAAACAGCCAGGGCTCCTTTCATGCCTTACAGGGCGCTCCTATTCACTAGCGCCAGGAGGTTTCAAAGGGGCCTGCTGCCCTCTCGTCCCGCTAAGCTTCCCCCACTCGGTTCAGCTTCGCGTCCCCCTCGCACTCCATCGCTCGCTCGGGCTCTGCTCTGCACGGGCCCCAAACTGGCCGAGCCAAAGAGGGCTCTAATCCCGGCCCAGGACCCCGGGGGACCTGCCCGATGGGCCAGCCGGCCAGAAAGCACCTCGCCCGGCCCAGGCTTTCAGTGCCTGCCAAGCCTGCGGGCTCGCCTGCACACCGATGGAATGGCTCTTGTGCCGAGACCCCTTTCCCACGCTGATGGGAAACGTGGGCCCGGCGGCACCAACATGCCCACGTGGGGTCTGGCTGCGCCGGCTGCATCCAATAAGCTGCCCTAGAGGCTGGGAGGAGGACCAGAGGCCCCCCAGCGCTGATGTCAGAAGACGGGCTCCAGCACACGAGCCCCAGGTCCCCAGGGACCCTCCCCCGCCCCTTGGGGTCCTGGTTTACTCATCCCCAGCCCAAGGCAGCTGCGCCGAGGGAAGGGCTGGCCACGCCATGAGGTTCTGCCACCTGGGACCCAGGGGTACCTGCTGTGCCCCGGAGAAAAAGCTGCCGAACAAGGGATTTGCCCTCCGTCTCGATTACCAACACGGACCCTCCTGGCCCACACGCTGACCCTTGCCGCCCAGGACAGCTGACTTCTCTGATCCCAGAACGCGACTTCCCCGGGTGGTGAGGGCCTTAAGCCCACAAACGCTCTAGCTAAAGGTGGGAAGGGCGGGCAAGGGCTCTAAAGTCATCGCTCGATAGAACTGGGGGTTTTTCTTCTGGGCATAAAAGGGGGTTAAAAAAAGAGGGGAGAAAGCATTACTTACTCCTCCCTCCCCCTCCCCCTTAAAAAAGAAAGCTGTGTGGCCACTAATAAATAAAAATAAAAGAGACTCAAGGTAGCTCAAAGGTCTCATTATCAACTACGGGGCCTCACGTTCACGCGGGGCCGGTGGGAGCAGGCCAAGGGCAGGGCCTGTCTGGCTCGGATCTGAGTTCTGTCTGTGACAGGAGTAGTTATGGGAGCACTGGGCATTCCTCCCTCATCTGTAGAAGTCACAAGCATCGGCCAACCTTTCCGACTGGGTCCTGTGGGGCTCAACCGGGTATGGGGACTACACCCAAGTTATCTCATCCTGAACCGAGAATCGCACGTCTGTGACGGGGAGTCGGAGGCCAGCAGCCAAAAATAACCTCGCAGAAAACTCAACAGAAGCCTCCTAGTCTAAAGGAAACTACATTTGGCTAAGGAGAGTCGCTCGATGCCCTCGTTCAAGTCCAACTCACTCTTATTTTACACATAACGCTGACTACCACATCATCCAAACACTAGTTAGAAGCTAGAGGAATGCTGCTGCTGGAAACAAGCGCACACGAGCAAAAAAACGACAGCGGGCAGAAGGACAGAGAGAAGAAAGAAAAACCATCTTAAAAAGGGGGGTGAGGCACCAATATCTCTAGGGGCAGAAAGCCTTATACAATTTTGAATTCTGTGAGATGATATTACAATGTAGAATGAAAACAGACCTTGGGATTAATTATTTGAATCAAGAAACAAATTATGCCTTGCCTACTACTACTGAATAAACACAGAGCAAAAACACATTGCTTTAAGGAATACATCCACCAAAGGATAATATTTTTCAAGTACAGTAACTTAGAGTTCAGTCGATATGGAAAACTTACCTCTGTGGAAGCCCTCATTTCTTCACTTTGGATGAAAGGTGTGTTCCCTCCCTCCGTTTTCACTCATGCCAAAGTGCTATTCTTTTATTAAACTGCAACTTTTCACCTTAAACATCTCCCTCCTTTTACTAACAGGGGAATCTGAGGTAACACAATAAAAGCCACCAGGAAAATCAACAGTCGAGTCCCAAACCAACCCGTCAACTTTCCTTTCAACTGGTTCCATACCGCAGGCCAAGCAACAGATCACTGGCCAGTGGAAACCAGATCATTTCAAAAAACTAGAAGACGAGCCGGTCCCGTCTTGGGAAGCAAGAGCTACAGAAGGAACAGACTCGACACAAGCCTGCCACAGCCTACACTGGTCCACAGGGCCTGCCTTGCAAAACGGTTCCCTTCGCGGAAGATCCTCCTCCAAAACGTGTGTAGAAAAGCCTCCAAAGACCACTTTTAGAACGGTGGTTCTCAACTGGGTGCTGCGAGACGTGCCCTGGGGAGTCTCCCCCAAGCCCAGGCCCCACCTCCTCCGAGCCTCCTGAATCAGAATTGGCAGGAGACGGGGACGCCTGGTCCACCTCCCCACTCCACTCCCACCCACCTGAGACTCACAGAGGACCACTGTTCTCCATCCACAGAGGTCACCACTGCATGACCTCAAATGACCTCCAACTCAAAGCATGACCCTGCCCCATGGCCTGCTGACCACATCAGACCACCCTGATGGCTTGGATTGCATCCAGAAATGCCAGCCGTCCATCTGCAAAAGAGCTGAGGTCAGAAACTGCTTTGGAGAAAACCCCCAGTTAGGGGCAGAGCCCCGGCTGCAGAGGGAAGACGCCCGCCGACACCTGATGAGCTGAGTGACGGCCGCTTGAGCACATCCGTGAGCGAGCCTGGCACGCAGTGTCCTGGAGGGAACCCTGGCTTCCTGACCCCACCTTCACTGAGCCCCCAGACACCCCACCTCCCCACCTGCTGGCTCTGCAGAGGGACACCTGGATTCAAGACCCTCTTCTGCCCACCGGGAAGGCAGGCGAAATGATAACCGGAACAGGGTCTTTTAAACTCAGGGAATCTGTGGATATTCACCTTAACCTCCTACCTTAGTTTGGCTTTCTTCTGTGAAGGTACCATTCAACCCCCTTCCAAGGCTCTAAGCTTCACCCCACCCAGGCGACCACGGGAGCCTCCTGAGCCAGACCAGGCCCATCCCTGGGGCCTACTCCCCTCCCATCCAACAAACGTCCACGCGGACACAGGTGGGATTGGCAAAGCCGGGTGAGGATCCTGCCCCATGGCCTGGCGGGTCACACCGCCAGCCGCATACGTGGTGGGGAAACCAGAATATACTTACACGCTACTGTCTGTCATGGACATGGAATCGTCGGTCAGCGCATCGCTGGATATCTCGCTGTCGTTGGCGCTGGTGGCTGGCGCGAAGACGCAGCCGGAACCCACGTGGTATGGATTCACTGGATCGCTCCTCCTGAAGGGCCACAGCACTGCATCACCGACTCTCACCCAAAACCCAGGGAACCGGGGGACCCCAGAACAATCCCACAACGTGCTCCAGGCCAGCCTGCTGCCCAGGGCTGGGTGCTCCTCTGGGCAGAAAGCAGGGGCCACAAAGGGGCCTGCTGAGCCGTAGCTCTGCCAGGGGACAGGGGACGCCAGGGGCTCTTACAGAGTTCTTGAGAGACACCTGGAGGGAGGACCCTGCTCTTAGAGGGGAGGCTAGGGAATGACCGACGGGATGGAGTGTCCTCTCTCCCTGCGCCCACCCCCAGGCCTGTACGGGGAAGGAGACAAGAGGACAGCGAAACTTCCACACTCCCCTCCCGGGCTCTGTTAGCGGAGATCTGCGAGGCAAACAACTAGCGGCTGGGCCTGGTGAGCGGACAGACGGACAGACAGGCAAGTTCAGGACGCGGTCTGGGGCTTCCGTCCTGCCCCGAGCTGGGCCTCGGCCCACAGCCAGGCTGCCCCCCACCAGGGCCACCGAGGGCCTCCGGACGCAGAGGAGCAGCACAGCGGTTTCCAAGGAAGGTCCAGGCCCTGCTCCGGTGCCTCTGCCCCCGTTCTGCCCCCCCGACCTCCTCCCAGAAACGCCAGTGTGCCGGCCTAGCTGGGCTGCGTTCCTCTTGTGTCACCTGCTGTGTCACCGCGAGGGCCTCAGTGCAGGAGGGAAGGGAGAGGCAGAACCCGCCGTGGTCGGTGGGCTGCAGGAAGGGCCCTCGTCTGTCTGCAGAGACTCAGGCCCCCTCTGCCGGGGCCACCGAGTCCAAGTAAGGGAACTTACTCCATCAGGCCGCAGCCGCCAGTCTGTAAAGATGGCCTTGGGGTTGGCGGATGAAAGGGGCCCCTGAAAGGTGCCAGCACCTCCTGCCCGCGCTCACCGAGCCCCAACCCTTTCGTGAGGTACACAGCCCCGGTCTCTGGTGCCCTGACACACGCCACCTCCTCCGGCCCTCACTGCCCCTGGGCGAGGAGCGCGTGTGCCCATTTGACAGATGTGCCCCGGGTGGCCCCGCAAGCACAGCAGCCCTGGATGTCAGAGCTGGAAGCAGCGGGTGTGGGATGGATTCGTGCGGCTCCCATTCAGCCTCTCTCTCTGCCCCTGTTCAGAGACCAGCCTCGACGTTTCAAAAAGCTCTTGCATAAGAGGCAGGATGAGTGACCTGGAAGAGGAAGTCCTGGCCCTGCAGTGTCGGAGGGGGCGGGCCGGGAGGCCGGGTGGCTCCCCGGGACGGGTGGGAGCAGATGTGAGGACCAGGGATGGGAGAGGAGGTGGACAGTCCTCCCCAGCCAGGGGCAGGAGGGCGTCAAGCTGGCTGGGTGAGGGGGGGCCGGAGGCTTCCCCAGCAGCATGAGGGGTCTGGGGGGCCACCAGGCTGCACCGAAGTGGCCGTGGGGCAGGCAGGCAGCTGCTGCACAGTTTGGCGGGAGGGAGGGCAGCGGGGCTGGAAAAGGTGGGAGAACAGATCGGTTGCTGTCCTCAGGGGGCCTGCCCTCTAGCTGCAGTGACAAAACAAACAAGAGTGACACTAATTATCCAGCCCAACCCCACCGCCCCGAGATGTTAACGAAGCCCGAGGGCCACCAGGACTTAGGGCTCGCTGTGGGCAGGGCCTGGTTTGCTCCCTGCTGCACCCTCCCCCGGCCCACGGCAGGGGCTCGAGGACTGTCTGCTGCCCGATCGTCTTCATGACCCCCCAGGGAGGTAACGGGCCCCAAGCGGGGGCCGAAAGTCTTGTCGGAGGCCACCTGCTGGAGGCCCGGCCGCGTGGAACCCACCTCCGGTCACCTGGAGGAGGTGACGGCAGCAGGGACCCCGAGTCTGTTGGTCTGAGCTAGGCCAGAACGTCAAGCCAGATTCCAGGAATGTGGCGTGGTGGAGAAGTGACCAGAAAGTGCAAACGAGGAACATGGCGCTTGAACCCATTGACTACCACGGCCCAGCGACCCTGACCGGTCACCTGGACACTCTGGCCATTGAATACAAGGACCCAGTGACCCTGACCTGTCACCTGGACACTCTGGCCATTGAATACAAGGACCCAGCAACCCTGACCTGTCACCTGGACACTCTGGCCATTGAATACAAGGACCCAGCGACCTTGACCTTGTCACCTGGACACTCTGGCCATTGAATACCATGGCCCAGCGACCCTGACCTGTCACCTGGACACTCTGGCCATTGAATACCACGGCCCAGCGACCCTGACCTGTCACCTGGACACTCTGGCCATTGAATACCACGGGCCAGCGACCTTGACCTGTCACCTGGACACTCTGGCCATTGAATACCACGGGCCAGCGACCTTGACCTTGTCACCTGGATACTCTGCCCCACCCCACTCTGCCCCCAGGATTTTCTACAATGATGCAATGAGGCTGGTGAGATCTTCCATGACGTAGGACCGGTCCCCACGTCCTCAGTGTGGGATCTCCAGACACCAGGGCAAGAGAGAGAGGAGGGGGGTGAGAACCAAGGAGAGGCAGTTGGTCTTTCTGGAGAAGAGACGGGATGAGGGATGATTTAGTGAGAACAGTCTCCTCGCCGACAAGGAGGAGGCTGGCTCTGGTGGTACTGCCACTGAAGGTGGCACAAGAGGAAACGGCGTACAAGCCAGAAAGAAGAAATCACTTCTCCACGGCCAGGGCAGCACCAAGGAGCAGGTGAGGGCAGGTCATGGGGTCGCCCAAGGCTTTAAAATGGCCCAAAGCCCCCAGCTGCCTCAACGGGCCGCTGCCTCAAAGCAGGATGGAGAAGCTGATGGACTTCAGGAATCAAGTAACGCAGAAATCAAGAGGCCGAGGGCTGGTGCCGGCCTGGCTCCCGGCCAGCTGGGCGACCCCAGGTGTCACAGCCTCTGTGGACACAGGGCTCCACTAAAACAGCGTGCAGTTCAAACACGGCCACCTGCACGGGGTCCGTATGTTCTCCGAAAGGCCCAACGAGGGCACTGTTTACGGGGTTGGCATAGGAACGCTCCAAAACACCACCCGCCAACAAAAACAGGACTTCTTGGGTGACACTGATCATGACAATTACATGTCGTCAGTGCGCTTCCATGGTGAAGGCCTGTCCCGTGTACCCGACTACAAGCTCCACGAGGGCAGGGACAGGTCTGCCTTCCCCGTCTGGGTCGCCCCAGCTGCAGGCAGCGTGTGGGGCTCGCGGCAGAAGCTCGAAGCTTTCTCCGCTCTCCTTTACGGACTAGGGCCAAGCGGGCTGCCGAGGGGTGTTTTCGCCTAAGAGGAGTAGCATGGAGATCAAAAGAGCCAAAATGGCCCTAAACCGCCTTCACACCCTCTTTCCATCCCTTCAGTGTTGCTATCTTTGTGGTATTAACACATTAACAGTGCCCCAAGTATGAGGGTTGTAACTCAGCCTCTGCAGGGAGAAAATGACTCAACAGACAGTGTTGCTTCTTTGTGGTATTAACACATTAACAGTGCCCCAAGTATGAGGGTTGTAACTCAGCCTCTGCAGGGAGAAAATGACTCAACAGAAACCCCTCCCTCCCCAACAGAAAAAGGCACCCCGCTCAGATCCCGAGTGTGGACAGAGTTCTGTGCTCCCGGTCAGACATGCGGGTCCCAAAATAAACTCGTCTCCCTCCCTTCCAAAATAGAGGGCTACTGTGTGACCGGTAATTAAAAATGGAATATACTGCTCTTAGCTCAGTTGCCTGCAATAAAGTATTGGGATTTTCCTAACATCATAACAAGACAAGGCAGAGGAAGGTGGCAGGCCTGTGGGGACAGACAGAGACTCAATTTTTTAAGAACTCAGAACTCTGTCAAAATCATCACGTAATTTCAAGAAACTGAATTAGAGCTGCTTTCTTGTGATCGCTTTAAAAAAAAAAAAAAGAAGGGAAGAAACTCAACCACACTACAGTAATTGTACCCAGATGCTTTGAGTGTTTCTTCAGAACTGTTGTGCTCCCAGTTGCTGCAAGGGTTTTAAATTCCTCTGGAGAGTAAAGGCCTATGTACAGATTTTGCACTGGGCATCCATCCACAGACCTGGTTTGCAATTTCACTATGCAAAGGGCTTTCAGCTGTCAGGTAGCAGAGGCTCCTGGGACCTTAAGGGAAGGGAAATGTGGGCTCCTCCTCTGCCCCCCACCACCATTCTTATCTCTTATCTCAGTGAGATGCTGCAGGCCCCCACCTGCCCCCCAGACACCAGGGCAAAGTCCATACAGAGAGCACAATAGACGTGACCTTTGGGACCCCTTTCTGGGTCCCCTCTCACAACAATGCAACTTCAAAAGTATTGGCTTCTAAGGCTGTGTGCTCTTCTTTTCAAAAGCCCTCTGACAGGGGCTTCCCTGGTGGCGCAGCGGTTGAGAGTCCGCCTGCCGACGCAGGGGACGCGGGTTCGTGCCCCGGTCCGGGAAGATCCCACGTGCCGCGGAGCGGCTGGGCCTGTGAGCCACGGCCGCTGAGCCTGCGCGTCCGGAGCCTGTGCTCCGCAACGGGAGAGGCCACAGCAGTGAGAGGCCCGCGTACCGCAAAAACAAACAAACAAACAAAAAGCCCTCTGCCTGGAGCAAGAGAGGCCAGGCACGCAGACGGCAACAGGCAACACCCTTTTGAGAGCAGGCAAACTTCAGCAAGCGACAAGCGTGTCCTAGCAAAGCGCCCTCCTCAGAGCCTGCATCTGCTCGCTGCGGCCCGCTGCTTCCAGCACAGCTTTCCTCTCACGTCATTTTCTTTGATGATGGAGGCCAAGCTCGATTCCAGTGGCTTCGCATAAACTGGCCCCATCAGCGAGCGCTCTGGGGGGACAGGAAGTACTGGGAGCCGGCAGAGGGCCACCTGCTGGGGCCCCCTGACTTTACGTGACGCCAGAGCAGAGGATCCAGTGAGAGACAGGTGAGACCGCCCAGGGCAGGACAAGGAGAGCATCCCGACCCCGGCTCCGAACTCCACAGCCCCTCTGCACACGCCTCCATGCTCCAGGTGTTGTGTGTGTCTGTGTGTAGTCTGTGTATGTGTGTGTAGTCTCTTTGTGTGTGTAGTTTGTATGTACGTGTGTGTATAGTCTGTGTGTGTCTATGACTGTGTGTGTGTGTGTAGTCTGTGTGTGCAGTCTGTGTCTGTGTAGAGTCTCTCTGTATGTGTAGCCTGTGTCTGTGTGTGTACGTGTGTGTAATCTGTGTGTATGTGTGTGCAGTCTGTGTGTGTGAGGTCTGTGTCTGTAGTCTGTGTGTGTGTAGTTTGTATGTACGTGTGTAGTCTCTGTGTGTCTATGCCTGTGTATGTGCCTGTGTGTGTCTTATGTAGTCTGTGTGTGTCTGTGTGTATGTGTGTGAGTCTGTGTGTGCAGTCTGTGTCTGTGTCTAGTCTCTCTGTGTGTGTAGCCTGTGTCTGTGTGTCTGTGTGTGTAATCTGTGTGTAGTCTGTATGTGTGTGTAGTCTGTGTGTGAGGTTTGTGTCTATAGTCTGTGTGTGTGTAGTTTGTATGTACATGTGTAGTCTGTGTGTGTGTGTACGCCTGTGTGTGTGCCTGTGTGTGTCTTGTGTAGCCTGTGTATGTGTGTGTGCCTGTGTGTGTCTGTGTAGTCTGTGTCTGTGTGTAATCTGTGTGTCTGTGTCTGTAGTCTCTGTGTCTGTGTGTAGCCTGTGTGTAGTCTGGGTGTGTAGTCTGGGTGTAGTCTGTGTGTATAGTCTGCATGTAGTCTGTGTGTGTGTCTGGGTGTAGTCTGTGTGTGTAGTCTGTGTCTGTAGTCCCTGTGTGTGTGTAGTCTGTGTGTGTCTGTAGTCTCTGTGTGTGTGTGTGTGTGCGTGTGTGTGTGTGTGTGTGTCTGTGTGTAGTCTATGTGTCTCGCCCTGGCTCTGGGTTATTTACAGGAACCATCAAAAGCCCAGGCCTCCTGCTGGACCACTCCCCAACCTGAGCCCCTCCCTCTGAGGACCATGCCTGCTCTTAGGCTCTGACTCCTTACATGAAACCTGACACCACGTCAGTAAGGACACAAGTCATTATAAAGAGGCTGCCCTAAGCCCTCAAGGAAATCAAAGGGCTTAAAGACCAGCCATGCCCTTGGCATCCAGCTGCCCAGACTGCTGCTCAACAGCTGGTGAAAGGGACCGACCCCTCGGCAGGACTCAGGGCTCCTGGTTCATTCACTGCACCTGGCCTGACAAGTGGCGGGGAGGCAGACTTGACTCGGGGACGATCCCACATCCCAGAACCAGCTGCGAACGCAGGCTCAAGTTCAGCAAGCAGAGAAAGCTGAGGTGTGGGGAGGGGACATGCTGAAACTTCACAGTGAACATGTGCTAGAACCCAAGGCTCACTCTCTGAAAGTGGGACCCGAACCTGGTTGGCCCTTCTCACACAGCCGGTGATGAGTACTGTTCAGTCAAGCCAATTATAAAGCTCTACGTCTGTTCAGACATTTCCCTTCGCAACGGGCTTTCCTGTTTATTATTTTGGTCCTGATATTATAGCAACCTGTGATATAAACTGAAGGGAGGGTTGTCCACTCACTTTACAGAGGGCACACGGGCTTCAGAAAGCCTTCAGCCCAGGTGGTAAGAGGCGGTCCGGGCTGCAACTCAGGCCTCTGAATAACTCGGGGCAGCTCCTAATAACACACCTCAGGCACCCTTGAATACCTCGCACGTTAAAAAAAAATATCGGGGTGTGTCTTAATTTCTCTCTGATGATGCCCAGGTAAGACATGTGCAGTCCAGGTAAGATATGTCATCTCATCCCAACAGTGGGAGAAAACACACACACGAATCTAGTATGGAAACCCCAGAGGCCAACGAAAGGTGTCATTTGTATATGAACACCCACGGGAATGAACACCCACGGTTCCCAACCAAAACGCAAGCGATGACACACAAAGCACCTCAGGCCCTGGATCCAGGGTCTCCGATGCTCCCAAGAGCCCTCCCCATAAAGCTGAACGCTATTAACAGCCCAGCTGGGGGCTGTGGAAGCGGGAGGAGCTCTCCAAGGCTGGGTCCTACCGCCCACCCACGAAGGGGAGGGGTCACAGCAGGGTCCCACCTGGGGAGCCTGTCTCACTCCAAAACCACACAGGGTGCTGTTTACAAAGGTGGTGGTGCTCTGGGCCCTGACACTGGGGGACACAGAAACCCCACTGTCTGAAGGCTCCCGGAGAAGCTGCCTGACCACAGGCCTTAAGTAGCCTTGGCGACCGCTGCCAACCTGGAGGGCACGGAGGCCAGCGGGGTTTACCCAAACTTCCACCTAACAGAACAGGGCAGGGGTGGCAGGTGGCCCGTGACTGCCAGCCACAGAAGCCAGAGCCAGTATCTTCCTCCAAAACAGCCTGAAGCCATAAGCTTAAAGATGCTGAAACAACTCCGTTCACGTGATCCTTGCTTGGCTCCCTCGCAAAAGCCAATCCGTTCCCACTTAAGGTGTAGACCAGATGTCTGCGCGCAGACGACCGGCTCCCGAGGCTGCAGGCGCGCCCCCTGGTGGACCCAACACAATCCTTCCCTCCCTGCAGGGCCACCCCGAGATCTCCAGGCTCAGACCCCGCTCCTCTGCCCCTCCTCCTGCCTCGGACCCTACAGAGGGAGGGTAACCTCCAGAGAGACAGCCGCCAGATCGCATCTGCCTTTCCGAACCCACGGAGCCGGACACAATGGACAGTGAGATAAGCTGCTCCCGGCCAGCCCCTCCCCTGCATGCTGTCCGCAGCAACCTGGGACTGAGAGGCTCATTCTCTTTTTGGATATTTGGAAGGGGAGAGCGAGAAACAGACAGAAAAACTCATTCTAACAGGAGGTCTGAAGTTGCCTCCAAAGGTCAAGAATCTTGAGACTTGGCCATTCTATAAAGCACCATTTGTCTTTGAAGCCTCGAAAGAGAAGGTAGTCTTCCCTCCTCCAGTCTTCTCCGGCCAAGACCTCTTCCCCATCGCCACCAAGCAACGCAACAATCAACTGGGGTCTGATCCTCGGGCCGCAAGCATTGAAAACCCAGAATAATGGATCAGCAGACTCCACAGCTAAGGGTCCTGCATTCGGGAAAGTCACCGGGCCTCCCCTCCTTAGGAGGGTTTCTTGCAGGGTTAATATCTCATTCCACAAAGAGAACCGCAAGGCCAGCTGTTAAGCCAATTGCTGGCTCTTATCTGAACTTAAAGCTCAATGGGTCCGACTTATCCCCATGGTCGGTGGGCACGCGGGTTATTTCCTGGGGCTCCGCCACAAGCCAGGTGCCTCCCTGGCCACGTCCATCCTACTCCCTGTGTCTTAGCTGTGAACAACCCCTTCCCAAACCGGTGCCTGGTAGCTGGTGAGTCATCGGCATCAAAAGCTGCTGTCCTCTCTCCACCACCCCACCCCAAGGCGGGCCCAGGATAGTAAGTAACCCGCATTAACGCACACTGCCTGCCCCTGTGTGAAGCCAGCACTGGAAGACTACAGGTATTTAGCTGTGTGTGCATCGCTTTCCCGCCCCTTTCAACAGCAAAACGCAAAGATCGAAGGGTTCGTGGCCAGCGGTCCGAGCTCAAGACAGGCTTTTGTCAGCCTCAGCAGCACATGCATCCGTCCATCCACCCAACTTAACTCAAAACATCTGCAAAGGCCATCTCACCCTCCAGGCTCCCCCCAGCCCCTCACCCTCCACCAAAGGCTCACCTGTATCCATTCTCGACAGTTTCTGTGGACCTCACACCGACTGTAGCCCTCAGGGTTTTGCTGGACAAGCCGACCACGCTGGGGGCCAGTTTGCACTTGAAGTCGGCGCAAGTCCACTCTTCCTCCTCATTCAGCGTGGGGAGGTAGCCACACACGAGCTTCAGGTTCCCCAGGCCCCCACCGCCCACGCAGGCTGGGTTTTCACCCCCACTCCTCACGTATTCGAGGTATATATCAGAAGTCAGAAACATCTGGTAGGCATTGTCCTCCATCACCGCCTGGATCTCAGTCTGCGCCTGGTCAAACATGACAGAATCGATCTGCTGCTTCTTGATGCCATCTCTGATGTAGGTCTTGGTGGCAGGTTTCAGCTGCTTGGAGACAATGCTGTTGTTCTCGACGTACCTCTTGTAGATCGCTTTGGCTACTCGTAACGTTTTGGCATCCTTCAGGTTCATCTGCCTGAATCCATTGCAGGCAAACCAGAAGTCTAAGGTATCCACGCATTTCTCCCTCTCCAGGAAAGTCCGGAAGAGATAAGCACCGTCTTGGTCACCCAGCAAGGAGTGCAGGGACTTGGTCCACCTGGTCAGAGGGGAGTCCGGAGACGCCCGCCCCTCCGGCTCCCCCAACCCGTCCTCATTCCGCCTGGCGCTGGAGGAGACAGGCGGCGGTGTGGCGGCCGGGCCCTTGCCCACCCCGGGCTGGCACGGTGGGGTCTCCCCTTCTTCACCCGGCACTGGGGGCCGCGGGGCGTCCTCGCGGAAGCTGCTGCTGGGGTCGGGGAGGCGAGGCACCAACACAGCGCTGCTCATGGCGAGTGAGTTCTTCTCGCTGAGTTGAGGAATGTTCTTTTCTCCTTCCAGTTCCTCTCAGCAATCAGCGTGGTCTCTCTTTCTCTCTCAAGTCAGCAGGGACTCATCTGAGCCTCCTTTCTGGGAAGAAAAGGAAGGGGGGGAGGTAGAGGGAGAGAAAAGGGTATTGATATAATCAAAACCAGATCTACCCAACATCAAAGCAAGAAAGTAAACAGGCTTTTCAACTCCTCAAATTCAAATCAAGCAACCCAGCTATCTGCGAGGTGCTCATCTAAAGTATCAGACGCTGCTTTTTCAAAGGCGAAATCCGAGCTCCCTGCACGCTTGGGGGGGAGGAGGAGGAGGAAGGGGCGGGGAAGGGGCGCGGGGAGGGGGGAGGGGGGCGGAGGGCTCGGGAGGTAGAAGGCACCAGCT